AGCTGAGCCTGAACTTTTATTCCCAGATCCTAAGTTCTCATTCACATGTGAAATGTCTATATTTGTTTAGGGACTTTATTCCCCTTCTCTGAGACAAGGGTTAGCCTGTCTCAAGGTTTATGTTACTAAGAAGACTACTAGCTTTTCAGTTGAAAGCAAGTTTTTTTAGTGAAAAAAATGTTATATATATACTGACAATACATTTATAGCACTTACACCAAACTCTTGGTAACTAATTTAAATATAATTGGAAAAAATCTTTCTAAATAATCACTAACTTACATCTTAATCTTTTGGCTGTAATATGTTGTTCCTAAATTTTTTTCCAAAATATGCCCTCGCTGGTGTAGCTCAGTGGATTGAGCGCAGGCCTGCGAACCAAAAGACTGCAGTTCTATTCCCCATTAGGGCACATGCCTGGGTTGCAGGCCCCTTCCCAGCAGGGGCCAGTTCCCAGCAGGGGATGCACCAGAAGCAACCACACATTGATATTTCTTTCCTTCTCTCCTTCCCTTCCCTTCTAAAAATAAATGAAATCATTTTTAAAAAGATTTTAAAAAATTTTTTCTAAAATATTATTGTAAGTATATATAATAGATTCCTTCATGATTTTGATTATATTTTATTTATACATTTTATATATTTTCTAATAACTATTTATTTTTAAACATTTAACTTAATTTTTAAAAATCATAATTACTTTTTAATGTTTTATTTTATTTATACATATTTATATTTAGTGTTGTATCCTTTTTTAAGATAAACAGCTTCACAATACATAAATTTATGATGTGTAACTTTTCCTCACATAATAACCTTATAACAACAACTATGCATTTAGATTCAAGTTCTTTCAAGTCCAAAATGATTTCCACATAATAGGGCAAATTTTTATGGCAGTTATCGCTTCCTTTATACTAGAGTAACATTTAATGAGCCCAAAAGATGATTCTAGATGCTCAGAAATAGCTTAATATCATTTCTACATGATGAAGAGGACCTCTATAGTAAAACAAACAAACAAACCTCTATAGGTTAAAAAGAGAAAAAAAAATGCTTGCCATTTCCAGTTATGGGGAAAGAATGACCTATCTTTTCCTTGGGCGAGGCCATATGCAGTCCCTCCCCATGGAAGTGAGGTTAGCCATCTCTTCGAGTCCCAGAGTCCTCCTCCCACATTGCCAGAGACATTACAGAAGAGTAGAGTAAGCACAAGAAGTACTGGGATATGAGTAGAAAACACAGCAGATAGGAAAGAACTGTTTCTATTTAGAGCCAAGGTCAAGCCAAGTAGCTATTGGAGAAGGGAGTAGCAGGTACATGTTGTTAGGAGAAGGCATCGGGGTGATTTTTTAAATTATTAGTCTTTATCTTAGTTCCTTCAGGCACAAACATCAAAATTGTTATAGACTAGGGGGCTTAAAGAACATTTATTTTTCACAGTGGGGGTTGGGAAGCCCAAGTTCAAGGTGTCAAGGTACTCATGTGGTAGATAAGGGGAGGGAGCTCTGTGGAGTCTGTTTGATGAGAGGGCTAATCCCATGCATGAGGGCTTCACCTTTACAGCCTCCCACAGGCCCCGCCTCCTAACACTATCACATCCATTTTAACATGAATTAGGAAGGGGACTGGGGAAGACAAGCATTCGGTCCATAATAAGAATCCTTAAAGAAATATAGTTTCATTATTTTCAGGTATGCACTACCAGGAAGTAGAGGAAGGCACTACAATTAGACACATGTTTTTTTAAAGAATTGCTTAAAATAAAATCTGGATGAGCTGTAATTCATTAATCAAATTAATGAGTTACATTAATTTGACTCATTAAGTCAAATTAATCAATTATCTGAGTATTTCTGAAGTGCTTGAGGGTATTTACACTATTTTGTTCTCCATCAAATATCAGCAACTGTCTACAATTTTGTTTACACCTGTTATTACCACAGTAAAACTTTCTTTGCACCCTCTCCCTGCAATGGCCCCCACTCGACCTGACATGTGCTCTGCCTTTTCCCACGGAAACAAGCTCTCCTCCATCCTTTATTCACAGGACTCTTCTGTCATCTTTTTTGTCCTGGCTAAAATCTGTCTCTCCTAAGAGTATTGCTCCTGAAAATCATTAGGCTCAGGAAATTGTTCTAGCTCATTTTCTTAATCTATGCATAGGCATTAAGAAGTGGGGTCAGCATTTTCTTTAGTTACTCATGCTACTTCCAAACTAGTATTTTTTCCTTTTGTGTAGCCCTGCTCAGTTTAGGACCCTGCCTTTTGTCTATACCAGTTTTATTCTTCCTCTCTCTGTCAGTTTTCATCTCCAGTCACTCTATCCCACCATGAATATGAACTGGCCTGGCTCAGATTCCTCCTCAACACTCCAAGTACATCCTGGCCTTCCTGTGCGACTTCATGTGGAAGGCCATCCAGAGTCCTAGCCTCACGGTTCCTCCAAGTTCTACTGATTGTGGCCTTTGTCATATCACCTACTCCTTCTCACATTCACAGTGGGGACATCTCATCACTTAGGTGTATGCCTGTTTTGATCCATCCACCCTACTCTCTCTAACCTTCTGGCCCTTTTTACTTTACTCCCACTAGAGCAGTTCAAAAATGTCAGTGAAATTTTTATTCCCCTGACACCATCCTCTTCCAACCTATCAGTTTTTAATGTATTATTCTCTTCCCTGTCTTGAGTGTCAGGACACATGGTCGGTCTATCACTACCACTTTAGCTCCTTTATATCCTTAATTATAATGATTACTATCAGAAATAATATTATTGATTTGTTCATTTTAAGACTATTCCACCAGAACATAGCTTATGTAAGAACAGGGACTCCAGTTCCTCAGAGGTTAACAGAGTAAATCTCTGATGACCTCACGCATAGCAGAGACTCATTAAGTATTTGTGGAAGGAACATAAAAGGAGAAAAGAAAGGATAAAGTCTTTCATTCAATCTAGAGACTAAGCACCTCTTATTTAGTCCAATAAGTTTAAATCTAAAACATCTTCTCAGAAATATGTATATTACAGTGATTCAGTAAATCTAAAAATATATGTATATTACAATGATTCAGTAAACCTAAAAATACATTAGTCAAGATTAGAGGGTTCATTTCATGCTTACTGGTATATCTATACAAAAGAATACTTAATCAATACAAAAATAACATACAAGAATATTTAATAACACGAAAAAGTTCACATATTTTATTAATTCCAATATAGCATATGTGGTATAATTTCATATTGTTAGAATATATAGGCATAAAAAAGATGGAAGAGAAAATCCATGGCCTCAGATGACTTTTGAGACACAACACCAAAATTATGATCCACAAAAGAAAAAAGCGTGACTTTATCAAAATTCAGAAAGTCTGCTCTGTCAAAGGCACTGTTAAAAAATCAAAAGATGAACCACAGAGAGGGAGGAAAGATTTGCAAAACACATCCAATAAAAGACTAGTATCCAAAATCTGGAAAGAGCTCTTAAAATGTAACAATAGGAAAGCAAACTACCCCCCAAAATTGCAACAAACATCTGAACAGAGACTTCACAAAACAAGATAAATGGGGAAAAAGCATATATAAAGATTCTCAACATTGGTTATTTTGAAGAAATTGCAAATTAAAGCAACAAGGAGATACAACAACGACTACTCAGCCATCCTAACGGCTACAACCTAAAAAAACTAACTATCCCAATTGTTGTCGAGGACGTGGAACAGCAAGAACTATTATTCATTGCTGGTGGGGATGCAAAATGGTGTAGCCCTTTGGAAGAGTGTGGCAGTCTCTTGCACTCCTAGGCACATATTCAAACCATTTCAAAACTTATCAACAAACACAAAAGCCTGCATTTGAAATCTTCCAGCAACTCTTTACTTTCAAGTAAAAGTTAAAAGCAACCTACTTGTCCTTTAAAAGATGAGAAGAAAAACAAATTTTGGTATAATTATTCAGGGACAAAATGTGGAATATAATTCAGTAAAAAAGGAAATAAGCTATCAAGGCATTAAAAAATAGAATTGGGGAGCAAGGGGCGGGGGAGGTTGGAATGGGAAAAATAGACAAAAAACTGTACTTGAAAAATAACTAAATAAAATTAATTATTAAAAAATAGAATTATTTTAACTGTATTTTGCTAAGTGAAAAAAAGCCAGTCTGAACAGGCTAACATACCATGTGATTCCAATTATGACATTCTGAAAAAAAAAAGTAATTCTAAAAAGACCGGTTGTCGTTAGCAGAGGTTTGAGGGAGGGTAGGAGTGTTGATTGGTGATGCACAGGGGATTTTTAGGGCAGCGAGAACATTCTATATGAAACTGCAATGGTGGATGTGTAATACACTTGTCAAGACCCATGAAATTTTACAGCACAAAGGGTAAACCTCAGCACATGCAATGTTTTAGAAAAATCACTTAGGGGGTCTTCGGCATCCCAACAGCGTTTGCAGAACATGACATAAGAACCTAACTGTACCATTAATGTAAGAAACGACTTCAATGAGAGTATTGTGGGGGGATGGTGTTGACTTAAGTAATTTTAAAAATGAGTGAAAACAAGAAGATTAAAAGCAAAGGAAACTGCATATAAATACTATATTCTAGTTAATAAAGTTGTTCCCCAGAGGTGTACCTGTTAACAATTCCATTCTGCTATACACATATACTAGAACTGAACCATCATGCCCTTGCTGTTATCTGAAAGGGAGTAAAGTACCCATACCCCAGAATCAATGAGCACATCTAGCACCCAGAGCTTTGTTTCTAAGAAAGGGGCCAGAGCTCCTTGGAGAAATGGGTGAATAGAACACAGGCCACGAAGATGAACGCAGACCATCTGGTTCTTACTGTGCAGCACCAGACAGTAAGGATGTACTCAAACAAACACAAATGACATACAATTGTGGAGGCATGTGAAAGCACAAGGACACAAGAGCCAACGGAAAGAGATCCCAATGGTCAAAGCTTGAAAAATTTGAGCAAGAAAATACAGCAGTGCTCACACTTTGGCAGCACGTGTACTAAAACTGGAATGACACCGAGACAATGAGCATGGCCCCTGAGCAAGGGTGACACACCAGTTCGTGAAGGGCTCCATATTTTGTGCAGGGCTCGGATGGGCGTCCTCAAACCCTTTGATTTGCTCAGAGGAAACATGAGTCAAAGTACAATATGTTGCTCTCAATAGCAAAATCGTGACTTTTCATTGTAAAAATATTTTTTAAAAAATAGAGCAGGATTGGATAATAGCCCAAAGCATAAAATACATATCCAGACTTCATATTGATATACATACACACACACCTAAAAATTCCCCATGCAGAAAATCCCCGATAATTCATATGGATACTCCACCCTCAAGGAGGTGAAGCATAACTCTGCACTCCATAGTTTGGGTTATGCATAGAAGCTTTCTTCCAAAGAGTACAGTGTGGAGAGGGGAAGAGAAAAGAGTCACTTTGCAGTGCAGAAAAACTGAAAAACATGACTTCATCCAGGCGATTGAGGTCAACAATCACATTGGTAAGTTGTACGTATATGTACCCTTGATATGAAGGGGTCAGAATGGGGGAATTTTACTTCTATGGTATTTTTTTTCTGAAAACCCGAAACCCAGTCTACTCATGAGAAAAAAAAATCACACAAGTCTCAGTTGCGGAACATTCTACAAAACACCTGACCAGTACTGCTCCAAAAGCAAGAAAAGGTGAGAAACTGTCACAGACAGGAAGGACCTAAGGAGACATGACAACTAAATACAATGTAGCATCTTGGATGAGACCCTGAAACAGAGAAAATACATGAGGTAAAAACTAAGGAATTCTGAATAAAGTATATTATTTAGTTAATAATAATACATTAATATTTCTTCATTAATTATAACAAATATGCTATACTGATGCAAAATACCAATAACAGGAGAACTAGGTACAGGGTATATGAAAATCTCTATACTTCCTAGCAACTTTTCTGTAAATATAAAACTTTTTTCAAGTAAATTTAAAGGAAGAAGAAAAAACTGGAAAGATAAGCCCCAAAACCTTATTAGTGATTGTGTTTTAGTGATAGGATTACCAGTTGCTTTTCTTTTTGCTCATCAATATTTTAAAAACATTAAGTTAAGGGGAAAAAGGGGGAGGGATTTGGAGGAACAAATAGGAAGGAAGGGAGGGGGGGGTGGGGGGGGGGGGGGGCGTGGGAAAGACTTACTTGTCTTTAGGACGCAATTGGAATTTGATTTTTAGCTCTTGAAGGCTTGACATCAGCCTAATAATCTTAGCATTTGGTGTTTTGCATCTTCAGACAGGGAGTCGTTTGGCCCTTGTTAGGTAAGTGACACCTGTTTGTATCTCCAGGGACCGAGTCCCACTGCATGGAGGACCCCACCATGGTGTGCATGTATGAGAGTTGCCAAGAAAGACACAGCTCTCCCCCAGTAACTGGAGGGACAACACTCCACTCACACAGAGAAGAGACAGAGTAAGATTAACCTCAATAGTGTGCTTCCATCCCACAGGGCCAGTATGTCTTGCCCCACAGCTGACACAGGTCTGTACTAACCACTCTTGTGTAACAGGTGAAGATCCCTCCTTTCTCCCTGCTAGGATCCAACAGAGCAGTGGGGCGCCATACGCACACACTGTAAGCAGAACAAAGAAGCACACGTCAAACCCAGAACGGAGAAGAGATTCCCAGACAAGGTGATATGCCCAGCACAGGCTGTGAAGGGCTTATCATCTCCACATAAGGAAATGGTCCAAGCCCTATGCACACCCTCACACAGCTCTGCAAGGGTCAGCAGGCTGTGAATGACTGCCTTCCTCCAACCCTTCATTCAAAGGAAATGTGCCAGACAATGTAACCTCCTTTTGACAAAGTGGTAAAGGAAATATAATTATCTCGTAGTGAGGGATAGAGGTAAGTAATTTTAAATATCAGAGGGATACAATGATCCACTATAATGAGAAAAACAATTACTTTAGCAAATTAAATTTTAGGAATTATACTAGAAAGATAGCTGCAAAACTAACAATGCCTAGTAGAAGTAAAATCTCAAGTTCTCTGGAAAGATAATCCTCTGCATACATTACAGAACTCACAGGGAGTCCAACAGAGCAGAATTTCTTTCACAAAGGAGGGAAGTGTCTCAGAAGGGATATGAGAAGACTTCAGTCTTACTCTTGGCTGATTTGGCAACCCCTCTAAAACTTGTCCTTCACATCTGCCTGAAGTGCCAAACACCCATGATAGCAGTTTATTTGCGATCAAGGTGGCAGGTTTTGCTTTCAGATAGATTCCAAAATCAAGTTACATAAATCAAGATTAAAATACTTTATGGTGATTCATTTGTGGTTTGTTAATAGGCAATTAATGAATAGTAATCGTGAATTGAAGAAATTAATATTATTTATGTAATGACTCATGTCTGTCATCTAGAAAGGCTGTATGGGCACAGAAATTAAGAGTTTAAGTTCATATGATACCTTGGGCAATTATTTAACTTCTCAGTGCCTCAGTTTTTTCATTTGTAAAATAGAGATATTTGTAGTCTATACATCACAGTTGTTGTAAGGGTTAAATTGAATTGACCATCCTAAGTCCTTACCATAGTATTTGGTACATAGCAAGGTCTATGTAAATGTTAGCTATTGTTTTAAGTAAGGGCACTTAATAGCTTTTACTTTTTCACATTCCACTTGGGTCTCCAAACCCAACATCATATTGCCTTTCCCCACCCCCATGCCTGCCAGCTTCTCACTTATTTCTCCAAAGTATAACCATTCTCCAAGTTACCCAGAAGCAAAGTCCATTCATTCTTTCTCATTTCTCTTGCCACTTAGCTGATACATCCTCAAAGTCTACCTTTGGTTATGAGCAGTGGGGTGCATAACCTGTAAGGGGTTCCGTGATAGAGGTGAAGGGCTATCATCTCCGGTTCATTCAAAGGAAATGTGCCAGACAATGTAACCTCCTTTGGGGTTTGTGGGGGGTTTTTCCCCCTTTACTATCACTGACATTGAACTTAAGCAAGAGTCAATCCACAGTCTATTAACTTGTTGTTCTATTTCCTTCATCTACCCCAATTCACTTATAGACAGATGCCAGGTTAAGGTTTATTTTTTTATCTTAGTAATGAGTTGGTTGAGATACAATTCACATTCCACAAATATCACACTTTTAAAGTGTACCGTTCAATGGTTTTTAGTATATTCACAGACTTGTGCAACTTTCACTATTATCTAATTACAAATGTTTCATCGTCCCCCAAAGCCATAGCCACTAGCAGTTACTTCTGTTTTCCTCCACCCCCAGCCACAGACAACCCCTAATCTACTTTCTGTCTCTATGGATTTGCTTAATCTCTCATTCTTGTGAATACATAATTATCTATTTTTTATTATAACCATTCTAGTGGGTATAACACATTATCTCAAGGTTTTGATTTGCATTTCCCTAATGACTAATATCACCTGCTTTATTGATCATTTGTACATATTCTTTGGAGGAATGTCTATTTAAATCCTTTTTATTTTTCAGTTGGGTTTCTTGTCTTTTTATTGTTGAGCTGTGAGGGTTCATTTTATATTCTGGATGTAACTCCTTTATCAGATATATGCTTTGCAAATAATTTCTCCCATTCTTTCTTGATGTTGTCCATTGAAGCTCAAATGTTTTTATTGTTTTATTTATTGATTTGAGAGGGGAAAGAGACAGAGAGAGAGAGAGACAAACATCAATTTGTTGTTCCACCTACTTATATATTCATTGGTTGATACTTGTATGTGCCCTGACCGGTGATCCAACCTGCAATCTTGGCGTATTGGGTCAGTGCTCTAACTGACTGAGCTACCCAACCAGGGCATAGCAGTTTTTCATTTTTGATTCATTTCAATGTATCTGATTTTTCTTTTGTTGCTTATGCTTTGCTGTCATGTACAAAAAAATCATTGACTATCTAAGGTCATGAAAACTTACTTGCTTTATTTTTTTCCAAGATTTGTATAGCTTTCATCTTACATCTGGGTCTATGGTCCATTTTGAGTTAATTTTTGTGTATAATATGAGATAAGAATGTAGATAGCCACACTATTTTGCATGTGGATATCCAGTTATCCCAGTACCATTTGTCAAAAATACTATTCTTCATTGAATTGTTTTGGTATCCTGACTGCAAATCAATTGACCATGAAGGTAGGGGTTTACTTCTGGGCTTTCAATTGCATTCTATTGATCTGTGTGCACATCTTTATTCCAGAACCACACAGTCTTGATTACGGCAGCTAGCTATGTGGTAAGTTTCAAATCAGGAAGTGTGTCCTTCAGTTTTGTTCTTTTTCAAGATTATTTTGATTATTCTGGGTTCTTTGCATTTTCATATGAATTTTAGAACCAGTTTGTCAATTTTGGGGGGAAAAATTTGGTTGGGATTTTGATAGAGATTTTACTAAATATGTAGGTCAATTTCAGGAGTATTGTAATATTAAGTCTTCAATCCGTGAACATGGAATGTCTTTCTACTTATTCTGGTCTTCTTTAATTTCTTTCAACAGTGTTTTCTAGTTTTTAGAGTATAAATTTTACATTTCAGAGACACATGAAGAGATGCTCAATATCATTAGCTATCAGAGAGATGCAAATTAAAACCACAATGAAATACCACTTTACACCAGTCAGGTTGGCTATCATAAACAAAGCAACAAACAACAAATGTTGGAGAGGTTGTGGGGAAAAGGGTCCTTAGTTCACTGTTGGTGGGATTGCAGACTGGTACAACCATTATGGAAAACAGTATGGAATTTTCTCAGAAAAATAAAAATCGACCTGTCTTTTGACCCAGCAATTCCACTGCTGGGATTATATCCTAAGAATCCTAAAACATCAATATCAAAGAACCTATGCACCACAATGTTCATAGCAGCACAATTTACAATAGCCAAGAGTTGGAAGCAACCTAGGTGCCCATCAGTAAATGAATGGATCAAAAAATTGTGGTACATATACACAGTGGAATTCTATGCAGCAGAGAGAAAGAAGGAGCTACTACCCTTTGCAACAACATGGATGGAACTGGAAAGCATTATGCTGAGTGAAATAGGCCAGGTG